TGCTCCGGGAGATGGAAGGGTGGGGTTGCCGCTGAGGTTTTAATACCCTTCAGGCAGGTGCTGTCGATCTCCGCCCAATCAGGCCAAGACCCACGATGATGCGATCCCCAGCATCAACTTTGTGATAAGATGCCGCCACTGACAGTCGACAGTATATGTATTAGACTTTCGCATTGAGTATCATCCCGTTTCTCGAGTGTCAGCGTATCCATCATGCGGCTTACCACTTTCTTCTATACCGCCGCTCTTGCGGTTACGGCCATCGCAACGCCCATCTACGGAACAAATGGCACCAACACGACTTATGTCGGTCCAGAAAACGGCCACCTCGTAATTGTTGGAGGAAATCTGCAGAGCGAGAGCATTTACCAGCGCATCATTGCCCTTGCTGGCGGACCCAATGCATCGATTGTTGTGGTTCCCACGGCAGGCGGCGAGGACACATACGACCAGAACTTTACGACTGCAGTGGCGTTCCGCAAGTATGGGGCCAACAATGTGACGGTGCTGCATACATACGATCCCGCGGTTGCCGATACCGATGAATTCATTGCCCCACTGTTGAGTGCGAAGGGCGTCTTCTTCGGTGGAGGTAGACAATGGAGACTCGTCGATGCCTACGCTGGCACCAAGACCGAAGCAGCTTTTCAGGATGTTCTCGACGCCGGAGGTGTTATCTCTGGATCTAGTGCTGGCGCGAGTATCATTGGCAGTTTCCTTGCTCGTGGTGATACCGCAAACAACACTATCATGATAGGTGAGCCTCTTGGATACATGCCATAGAAGATAAACGCTAACGAGGTCTCCAGGCGACCATACTGTCGGCTTCGGGTATCTCAAGAACTCAGCCATCGACCAGCACGTCCTTGTACGCAACAGGCACTTCGACATGTTTGAGATTCTGAATGCCTACCCGGAGCTGCTCGGATTAGCAATTGACGAAGACACTGCGCTTGTGGTCAACAAGAACGAGATGGAAGTCATTGGCAGCACGTATGCATTGGTATACGATGGTGGTTTCTGGTCGAGAGAAGGAAGCTGGGAGAGGCCTCTGCCGCCGTCCAACGCGAGGTTTTACTTCTTGCGTGAAGGTGACAGGTACGATCTTGGAGCTAGAGCAGTTATCGAGCCGGAAAGTACTGGCAGTGGTGACGACGCATGATCATGCTGAATTTATATGATGGAGAACGCCCTATCAGATCTACGATGTAACGTCTTGCGAGGCCCAAAGTCACACTCTTCTTGGTAAAGCATACTGTTCATAGAGCTAGGGTAAAACTCGGTGACGACTGCGAAGGCGGATAGCTACCAAAGGGTGTATTCTTGCATAGGCTCGTCATCGAAAGCTCGAAAAATGGCCTCTTGAGCTTCAAATCCTTCTTCGTATCTCGACTGAATCTCCTTGTCTGACAAGCCATAATGCCTCTTCAGCTTTAAATATACGCGCGGCATGTATACCTCAGTAGCGGTACAATCCTCCTTGTTCCGGAATGGAAATTTTCCAAGGTGCAGTAGCCCAATCCGCTGCCATCGCTCTCCAGCGGTCTTGTCCTTGGAAATTAGGAGACATGATAGCGCCTCATCTGGATATGTATATGTAATCTTGAGTCCATGTTCAGGTATTGAATGCATCGCTACTCCATAGGATGTGATCTTCCTTCCAATTGGGACAATGATAACTTGCTGTAGAGCCTCCGCTTTGATCTTGGTTGTTCGTAAGCTGAACAGTGGACAAACATGATGATTCAAGCGAAGGGGGGTGTCGTCACCGGACCGGAAAGTTACAGTATATTTAGTCGGCGAGGTCGGGTCACGCTGGATGTTTGCGCAAATTCCCTTCGCTCTGATCCGGATATGTGCAGAGGTCAGCTCCCCGTAAGGGTCCCTGCCCGCTGGTTCGACAACCGTTTCGACAAGCTCTGCAAGCGGCCGTTCGACCTCGTGAAATTGAACCTCGTCTATCGACTCTGTAGACGCCCATGACCAGGATGGCGCTCTCCAGTGTGCCGCGACCATTTCAGCTTCTTCTAGACTCCTGAACCACAGCAGATCCGATATGAGGAATTTCTTCCACAAGCCGGCTACATATTCGTCCTCCATCGCTTTGCCGAAAACTTGAGCGATTCCAGACAAGGCTGGTAAGCAGTCTTTTGGGAAGGTAAGGTCCAGTGTGGAGTAGTCGGTCACGATAACACGCCACATCTCGTGGGGGTCTTTGGGGTCCATCATGTCAGAGAAGGGATCGCTGGAACCAATGCTGGTCTCATCGCTGGTCTCGTCGCTGGTCTCATCGCTGGTCTCATCGCTGGCCTCATCGTTGGGTCCATCGGCTGCGGACTCTCTAGGTATCTTAGCTCGGGGATCCCAACCATGATGGCCTTCACATTCGCAATCTCTTTTCTCGACGCACTCCCAAAGCAGCTCCTCGCTGGCAAAGTAGATGATGCGAGGCGAAAGAAGGCGTTCCTGATGAACCCAGCCGCGCTTTAGCAACGGAAAAGAACCGTGCTCTAAAGCTTGTCTGCCAAATACAGGAATTTCGACTCCATTTACCGTAAGTTCCACAGGCATTTTCTCAAAATTACACCTCCGATCGCCGTGAGACAGGAGTCTAGAGTTAGAGTCCTCAGCCACAGCTGCTGCCAAGGTAACATATGAGTTGCTGTAGATCTCAGCCATCGCACCGGATTGCTTCTGCCAGTCCACTGCATCGTCTTGGATTATACACACGCAATCGATCCATAGGTAATCGAGTCCAAGCCCACGTGTAAATGTAATCGCGTCTTGGAATGTTTGTGGTATGGTTAGCCACGGAATATCCTGTTCAAACTTCTTCATTGTTACCGCGTTTGTCTGCAACATCAGGGTCGAGCCCCATCGGTGACTCAGACAAGCGTAGTGCCCATGCTCCCCCTCTGTTCGAGCAAGTCGAACTCTTCCATCGCGGAGATCCAGTAGCCTCTTCGGTAAAGATGGGAGCTTATCGGTTCTGCAAGGATGCTCATTGTCGCATCTGTTAATCCAGTCTAATGCAATGGGTAGATTCGCCCCGAAACTCGGATCACATGGTTGTAGCATCCGCCCAAGATCTGGCCCGTAAGTCCCCGTGCCACCGAACTTCACTTGTCTGTCATAGATCTCACACTCCTCGACCAGGTCGCTTTTTTCGACGATCCATTCGAAGAGCTTCTTATCAAACTCAAAGCTGTCGAATAAAAGGTCGTGATGATAAAGAACGAGGGCGGGCAAGTCCTCAGAGTCTTGCGGCATTGTGTACCCAGAGTCCAGTACGATCTTGCGGCGCAGGATACATACTGGACAGCCCGATCGAACGCACACCCCCCACGCATCCCAGCTCATGGTGAAGTCCGACCGCCGTCCAGCAGCCGGACAAACATCAACACGACCTTCACCGACTGACGTTGTCACTACAAATTCATCTCCAGGATCGGCCCTTTCGGCTTGGGGATCTTCAAGCTGTGCGGCCCGTTCCTTGGTCATTTCGTCTGCGAGCTGATGGAGCCTTGCTAAAAGTCTCTCTTTCTCTGACGACAACGATTCAAGTGATAAATCTGTCGTGCTCATTTCTATTGTCGATTCCGGCGTTCCAGACTGATTCATCTTGATGAATCTATCGAACTGTTATTGCTCCTGGCGGCCTTGGTCAATCGGATGTAAATCGCAGAACAAGACCCTGGCACCGATAACAACCTTGGAAGAATAGATCGTGCTGAGCGTTACCATATGAAAGCACGTACAACTTCCCAGAGCTTATCTGAATGCTATGCTGACCTATACAAGGATAATATGATTGTCAATGTATCGGAAACTGGTGACAACTAGAATCATAAGTATTGAGATGGAAGATGCGGCACGGACTGGGGGCGCATCTGCCCCGCACCTCGTGACCCACGCCGATGCTTGCAAGCGGACTGCATCGGCAGAGGCGCGCGTGGAGTAGGCAGTCGTTTTGCCAAGCGGCAACTTCTGTTGGAATGCTTTCGTCCATTGCGACCGTGATGGTGACTGGCAAGAGAGTGAACGCGCCGTGATGCGACGCGTGGATACCTCCTGAATCGTGCCTCGGCATCTTTCGGTTCGGCGCTACTTTGGGAAAGCGGAGAAAGTAAGCTGACGGCGACGAGCTCAACGACGCGACCTCAGGCTTGGCTGCGTTATCTGCATATCCCGTATCTCTTAATATTCCTGCATATTATACATCTTTTGCGCGCTCAGACATTTGCATTCCCCCAAGCCAACAATTGCGCGTCGAACATTACGTCATCATGTCCAGAGGCTACGAAATCATCGCCATCCTCAAGCCCAAGCCTGGCAACCAAGACAGGGTACGCGTGAAATTGGCACCTCATCATTTACAAACAACTAATACTCATCAGGTAGAGGAACTGCTCAACATCGCAGCCCAAGAAGTAAAAGCCACCGAACCCGGCACCACCCGGTATCACCTACAGCGCGAAACCAAGGGCGACGCGCCGAGCTTTGTCATCTTTGAAACGTAATTCACGCCGCAAAGCTTTGGGCAAATTCAAAACTGACAACCATCAGATATGCGGACAAAGATGCTCTGATGTTCCACGCCAAGAGCGCGGGATTGAAGAAGCTACAAGCGGCGGTCAACGGGGAGGACCTACTTAGGGAGCCGATGTCGGTTATGATCGTTAAGGATGTAGGCGGGTTTAAGAGCAAGCTATAGGCTAGGTGGAACAAGGCATATTAGACGATAATGAAGGAAGAGAATACGTCACCAAGCCTACGAAACGATAGTGTGATTCGTATTGATTCGTATTGTAACCGTGGACCTCTACTAATGACTAGCTAAGCAACAGCTTTCCTTGAAACCATGGCGAATATCCATGCGGTTTGATCGCATCACCTACTTCAGATCTTTGCGAACCGGAAACCTTCGCCCACCTCGATACTGAGCTCTCGGGACGAAGGAACGAACTCCAAGTCGGCCCGGTACCGAGCTCGTAGCAGCACTAGACTTCGTAAGGCGAGATCTGTTGCTGCTTCACCTCGTCCACCTGCCTCGACTTCCAGTCCACGTAGAACTCCTCGAACTTGTCCTTGGTGATCTCCTGCATAACCCACGCCGTGCTGCGCTGCAGCTCAGGCTCAACACCCGGATGCGAACTCTCCCACTTCTCCTGGAAGAAGTCTGAGAGGTAATCCTCATGGTACTCAGCAAGTGCATCGACATGCTCGGGGAGGAGTGTCTTCTTGTCTTTACGCATTACCATGACCGCACCAACATCGCTCTGCCAATGTGTATGTGCAAAACCCCAAACATAGTCCAAATCGCCAGTTTCTTCGCGCTCGGGTTGGCAGGCTCTATTGAGGAAGGTCGCTGCTCTGTTCACCCAAGGTGCCGTGTTACTAGTGTCTGACTGCTTCTTCCAATAGGTAACACTTCTAGGAACACGCTGGATAACGATGGGTAGCTGTATATGTTTGGAGATGTCCGTGGCGGCCTGGTTGAAGAGCCTGTGGTAAGCGGGAAGTTCCATCGGCTCATAACGAGGACGACCGTCAACCTCGACATCGCCATCGCAGTTGATACGCACACCAGATACGGCACGGAACTCTTGCTGGATACTCTTGATGTTTGGGGGAGTATGGGGCTTGTACAAGTAGGTGTTCAGCCAGTGTGCGATGATTTTCAGATCTGACGGGCCCAGATCCTGGCTGTAGGACGGTTCCCGGCGGAGAGGGTTGTCATCGTAGACGTCGGTACCATGCGCAATCATGGGACCGCGCCACTCGTGCAAGTGACGGGAATAGAAGTCAATGATCTTGTTGCTGGCCTTGTTGTGTGTGGACCCATCACCGAGAAAGTTGTCCCTGGATGAGACCACGATATTGTACGGCAGTCGGCGGGCGAGAGCGTAGTTGTGGCAGATCTCATCCTTGTTCATCCGGACGTACTCTTCAGAGTCTGCTTCTTCTTGGTTGATGGTGGTGAGAGCTTCGGGAAAAGTCATCAGCCACGGGTACTCGTCTCCGGCTACAGTGCAGGTTCTGAGCCAAACGAATCGCGGCGCGCCTTCGTCGTAATGGAAGTAGATAGCGCGGGTGTACTTCTCACCAGGCCACTCGGCTTTTGGGCGGTCTTGGAAGTCTTTGAGGCTGTCGCAGAGGACTTTGTGGAGTGGCCATGCCTTCTTCTGGCAGGCCTTGGAACAATACCAGCTTGAGCTGCAACCGCCGCAACGCTGCGCGCCCTCGTTGTCGCACTCGTCGCAGAGTGTCATTGGTGCTTCGATTTCGTCGTTAAGTATTGAGGCGGGGTATGTTGGAGAGAATGAGTGGGTGTAAAAATATGAGAAAAGCTGGTCGCTGTAGCAAACAAAAACAGTGGCCCGAGCGTAGGCCCAAAGGTGAAGGTGGAAGTGAAGTTGAAAATGGACGCGGACAATGCAGGTGTTGCAATCAATATAGTAGTCATTCAATAGATTTCTACATACGTTCCATCGTACAATTAGGTATACGGGACACATTTACATGGTGCTCTGGAACTCCGCAGGCTCGGCACCATAGTCGCTACCGTACCCTCCATACCAGTAGTCACCAACGTACTCGACGCCCTGAGCAGTCTGGTTGGGACGCTGAGGCCACATGTCTAGCATGGCATGCTCTCCAGTCAAGGTAAAGTTGACGCTCGCAAGCGGGTGGTTGTCGATCATCATGGTGTAGTCACCTGGGTACAGGACCTTGTTGCCCATCTCGTCGACCCTGGCAAGAGATGCGAGAGTAAGATTGAGAGTCGCAGTGGCGGAAGAGCCTCCAGCAATGTTGTGAAGACGCTTGTAAGAGACGAGCGACTTCTTGGGGTGGGGCGCAGGACCGAACTCTCCAGCAATGTAGCCAAGAGTGACGTAGTCAGAGCTAACATCGCCATCGTTGGAAACCTCGACATCGACAGATACGAAGGGGCAGCGCTCGAGGAAACCTCCAGTGCTGTTGCAGTTCTGCGTGAGGGCAGAGATGGCGTAGCTCTGTTGAAGCTCGCTAGTGACTTCAGCGGAGAAGTTGGTGTAGTGCAGACCGTGACCGAACTCGTAGACGGCGGAACCGTTGTACCACTTGTAGGTGCGACCAGGGTTGTTCTCACCAGGGCGCATGTTCATGTCCATCATGGAGACCTGGGCAATGTAGTTGGAGGGGTATTGAGTTGTAGGGAGACGTCCAGCGGGAGCAGTCTTTCCGGTAACAATGTCGATGATGGCGGAACCTCCATCCTGACCAGGGTATCCGGCCCAGAGGATGGCAGAGATATTAGGGTTGTTGACGAGAGGAGTGTTGTCAATCTGTCCACCTCCAGTAACCACAACGATGACTGGCTTTCCGGTGTCGGCGAGCAGGCTGATAACATCGAGCTGGGCTCCAGTCCATGTGAGGTAAGTGCGGTCGTCATCTTCCGCCTCAACGCTGTTGTCGATACCGCCCACGTACATCAGGACATCGCTGGTAGAATACGCGCCATAGAGGTTGGACCAACGGTTGGTCGTTGGGTCGCCCTGGCCTCCGGGGTTTCCGCCAGCGTAGTTAATGGTAACATTGAGCTGCTCAAGAGCGTACAGAGGAGAGTGAAGGTATGTAGCAACACCGGCGTAGTTACCAAGGAGCTGGTCGGTTGCGTTCGCCCAGTCACCGAAAAGTCCGATGGACATAGATGAATCGACAGACAGTGGCAGTGTACCATCGTTCTTCAGCAGAACGATACCCTCGGCAGCGGCTCTGCGTGCAAGTGCCTGCGAAGCGTTGGTGGCAACTGCGTCAAAGCCGAGCTGGCGGTATGGCTGGTTGTCGGCAGAGTCGAAGTATCCAAGACGGACGAGCGAGGAGTATTGGCGGACAAGGGCCTGGTCAAGAACAGCTTCGTCGAGCAGACCTTGCTGAACGGCAGCGGGAAGGTGCTCCTGCATGTAAGTACCGCACGTAAGATCGGTACCAGCCTTCAGGGAGTCGTAAGCAGCGCCACCACGAGATGATGACCACTGGTGCGGGAGGTAGACATTTTGAACAGCATCGCAGTCGGATGTGACCCATTGCTCTTCGTTCGTCCAGCCCCAGTGCTCACGCAGAATGGTCTGCAACAGGTAAGGATCGGCACATGGTGGGGCACCATTGACCGCATTGTAGCTGCACATGAAAGCACCAACGTTCGCTTGGACACAGGCCTGGAATGGAACGAGATAGTACTCAACCATATCCTGTTGAGAGATCTCCACGTCGTTCTGGTAGCGAAGGTTTCCGTTCCAGTCCTCAACGTCATAACCTGCGAAGTGCTTGCAAGTTGCGACGACACGCTTGTACGGGTCAGACGCGTCACCCTGAAGACCGTGGATCAAGGCCTGCACGTAAGAAGACAGATGGTAGGAGTCTTCACCGGGTGTCTCCTGTCCGCGTCCCCAGCGAGGGTCACGGAACGGATTGATGTTGGGTGTCCAGAAGTCAAGACCAGTCCTGTTCGCGTTGTTGAAAGCACGCGCTTCGGTGGAGATGACCTTTGCAACTTCGGTGATGAGTTCATCGTCGAAAGCCGCACCCATCAAGATGGGCTGGGGGAACGAGGTGGAGTAGCTAAACTCTCCCTCATCGCTGAAGTTGGTATAAGGGCCAGCAATGCCGTGAAGACCCTCGTTCCACCACTGGTAAGGTGGTATGCCGAGACGGGCAACGCCTGGCGAGCCACTGCTCGTAGCATTGATCTTCTCCTCGAGAGTGTAGAGAGACACGAGGTTTCTCGCACGAGCTAGCGGGGCTGGAAGGGATTAGCACCGTCAGAACGTTGTATGAGTGGGAGATGAACGTACATGCCGAAGGATCGCAGATGGTCTCATTGCTCAAACGTCCACTGCTGCAGTCGGGGAATACGTATTGGGCATACGCTCCTGTCGCAGCGAAGGCCAACACTTGCAGCGCACGCGTCGAGGTAAACATGACGCCGGTTGTCTGGTTTGGTTCGGATGGTCCGGATGCAGCTCGTCGTCGTCCTCACTCCATGTCTTATAGCACAGTAAATAGCCGTAGTCACCGACCCTGCGTCAGCACGCGGTTGGTAAACACCATGGCCCACGATTCCTGTACGTCATGGTCTCGTCGGCCACGCGGTTGAGCAGCGGTCTTCAGTCCACTTATTTCCGAGCGCCGAGCCAGTCTTGTGTCCGAAGCCACTCCCGATGCTTGGCCCAGAGGCATACGGCAGCCAAGATTGTACCCGAGCCGCATGCGGAGCCCCATGGTACTTGCAAAATCTGTGAGGGGTTCGCGCTAAGTGGATCTCCCCGCCCTCCGATTGGCTGCGCCTGGCTATGCATTCAGGCTGAATGTAAATCTACGACTGTAAGCACCACACCCGAGAAGCGGTAAGTTCAAGGCACGGCAGCTACACGCACAAGACGTCGGTGAAATACTGGAATTGCAGGATGGTCTCGCATAAGCATCAGCCGAGCATCCGCAAGGGATGCGCCAATGTGGGCTGACGGAAGACGGGATGGAACCTTGATGGTATTTGCTTATGCCTCAACAGCCATGCTTCCAACCTTGGAAGTTACCTACCCCAGGTTCCGTCAGTGTCGCGCGGCAGTTTGTCAACGTGCATCAGGCAATAAGACTTGACCGTATGACAGCCATGGCACATTTCCTAATTTCCCATGACACGTCGACCCCAATCCGCCATCCGCCCCTCCCGAGTCAATACATACACACATGCGTTGCGGAGCAGGAGCCCTGGGATAGTCCATACTAGCGACCGCCACTGATGTCGTCTATTGACCCGAATTGGCAGCCGTTGCCGCGCTTACTGTGGCCAGTTGGCCTTCTTAACGGTCATCGGCATGCCATCTCGTGGTTTGGCCTCGAAAACAAATTCCTGGTAGGCGCGATCACCGAATGTCAGATCCAGATCATTCCACTCTGCTCGAGGCGTCTTGTTGGGTTTCAGATCCGCGCAAGTAAAGTCGAAATCGCGTATTGTCAGCAGGAATACGATCACGAACTCGTCCATAGCCAGCGGTTGGCCCAGACACGCACGCGGTCCTCTCTCGAACGGACGCCAGGCGTGCCGCGGATGGTCTTCTCGTGTAAACCGATCTGGGTCGAACTTGAGCGGATCTGGACGAAGCATTAGCCACCGGATGCGTGTTACAAAGAAGGATCGATAGATGTCACTTGCCTGGGAATATCGCTGGATCCATATGCATAGCCAGTTGGACGGGGCAGATCATGCGATCTTTGGTCGGCCATTCGCGACCCTGATACGTGAGAGTATCGATGCCCTTGCGTGCGGTATTTCCTATCGGATAGAACCTCAGGACTTCCTTGATGACGTTGTTTGTGTAGGTGAGCTCATTCAACTTATACGGCTCCCTTTTAAGCATCTCGTACGTCGCTTCGATACCGGGGGTGAAAACACGGTCGTGCTCTTCGCGCATCCTTTGTACCACTTCAGGGTGAACGCTAAGCAGCATAGCTCCGAAACAGATGGTATCCGACGTAGTTCCAAGTCCAGCGATCAAAAGAGTCTTTACTTGTGTGAGAGCATCTTTGGTGAATTGGGGGTCGAGCTCCTTTACGTCACCCTGTCGCTCTGCAATATAGTCTCGCAAGATGAGGTCCATGATCCCTAGTCCTCGCTTCTCCGAGAGATCGAGCTTGTCGCCTGCAGCTATGTGTTAGCCGCACGAAGTCCAAGTATGCGGGGACTCCATTGGGCTTCTTACGTTTGACTATCTCGAATCTCTCGTTGATGAGTCCTTCCACAATAGCATCGAACTTTGCGCGTTCGGCGAAAACCGTCCGGTTGACGAAAAAGTTGCGGATGTAGTTCAGAGATTCTCGCGTGGTCATAAAAGCACGGCACATGTTTTCAAAGTGCTGCAGAGCAGGGCTGCCTTTGGTCTGCGCGTCAAGGGATCGGCCAAAGGTCATAGTCGATATGACATCAAACGTCATGCACAGAGTATGGTCCTCCAACCTGAAAACCTCCCCCGATTCAGCTTTCTCGGAAAGTTTCGACCGAAATTTCATAACCTCGTCAGCAACCATCGGCCTCATGTTGGTGATGTGCGAAGTGGCGAAAGCAGGACTCAACATCTTATGGAGATACTTCCATTGTGGGCCGTTCGTTGTGACGATGTTGCCGCTTCCAATCAAGGGGTCGACCATCGTTGCCTCCATTTCATGTTTGGGGTGATTCCGGATGACTGTCATGTCAAGTGCAACATCCGGATCTGTCACCACAACTTGCTGAAATGAGGCAGGCCACAAATCGAGGTAGAAGACACCTGGCATGTTGTACTTCCTGGCGATCGTAACCACCGCTGCCTGATAATGTACATCACTGGGTAGCGATTTGAAGGTCTCGCCGAGCAGTTTCAAATGGCCGAAGAAGAAGCTATGAGGCGGTTTGGGCTGCTACTGTCAGTGCTGTCTTCATTATAGCTCGTGCCGGATACTGCCAACGTACGACATCTTTGTAAAATCGTCTAACTTGGATCAATCTCATCACGCCATATGCGAGCGCCGCAATGATGCCAGAGAAGAGTATCGTCACCCATGGTAGGTCACGAAGGGCCATTGTGAAGGGCTAAAGTGTAAGGTCTGCTAGGTGTGGAGGATTGAAGTACCTAGGTATATGAGGTTGTGCTGATCCAGGCCCCCCGATCGTGGCATCTTGGCACTTGAGTGGAGTAAATCAGCACTAGGCGATCCTGTGGCGCTTGGTGGTGGGATATCTCTAGCGTGTGTTGGAAAGGCGCATGTTTGTAAATTACGGCCGTGGAAGCATCGACCCCGTATCTTCAGAGGCTTGCGAGGTTGGAGATGGACTTCAGCGTGTGACAAGATAGCGTTGCTTGCTTGGGCCATGGCCACTACCGTTACCACGTGTTCTCTATTGAACATCTCTTTCATCTCCTCCGTTGCCATTGCCTACCACGCGCTTTAGGCTCCTAAATTGCGGTATATCTTGTAAGGCTGGCGGGGCGTTGTCTGTAGTGTGGGCGCTACAGCACCCTGCGACGCGAGACGTCATGATGTTGGTGTTCAGGTAGGCGCGTCTTTAGCGTGATGGCTAGGGTGAGACAGCCAACTCACAACCTTGGAATAGACTATGCGCGAGCATCGCCCAGCAAAATGGACGTCTGCATTTACTTCTCTAAGCGACCTCGAAACATGTCACGTCTGGCTTGTTGCTTTATCGACATCTAGCAACACAACATTGACGCGATCCACATTCGTGCGTCCAACCTGCGGACAGCAATCGCGCCACGAAAAAACGCGTAGCGAACCCACCGACGCGTTTACTGATCATCAGGCCTCCAACATTCGGTTACTAAATCTGGTTCGTGCCTCAAACTCCATCTACGGTATCTCATCATACGGTATCTTTTCCTGGGCTGCAACTCGCATCTCGTCGTCCAGCAGCGACATGAGCACCTGGTCCGTGCCCTTCTTCAGCCAGCTAGCATCGTGTGCAAGCGCTGTATGAGCACCAAAATTGGTTTCAAGCAGTCCTATCTTAGCGATAGTTTCTTTCGCTGAAGAAAGGTCTGTATGCAGTGACATGCTCACTGCCCCTGGGCCTTGGAACTCCGCAATTGTTCGCGTGCCGTCCAGCAAATCCCTGACCGGTCAGTAAACGCCCGATAGTATACACCATGCACGTCAGCAAACGCCTGGTGCAATCAATTTAACGTACCGCGAATGACAGCCTAGCACAAGATTAGCGAGCACCAATGGAAATTCCATGGGACAACATACAATCGCTGCCAAGTATTACCCACTCGCCATCTTGCAGCCTTGCAGCAGCAGCCAAGTTACCAGGCATATGGCCAGGTGCATCGAGGATCCAGAAACTGCCATCTCCGAAGTAGTCCAGTGCTCTTTCGAACGGGCCAAAGGGCTTCCACACGCCGTGTAGCTCATCCCATTTTTCTGTCGAGTTCTCCGGGTCGAAGAAGCGGCCGTCCCACTGTAGGCTTGGATCTCTCATATGTCCTGGCTGACATGCTGCTCTCGTGCCGGGACCAAAGTACGCCATCGCATTTGGAAATAAATCGCTGATGGGCCTCGAATGATCCCAATGAGCGTGGCTGCAGGCTGCTCAGCGAACTTCATTCACGCCACCCTTGTATCCATACCTGAACAAGACAGTATTGACATCTTCCGCAGCCACACCTCTTTGCGCCAACTGCTGAACGATAGTCCTCCTTGGTCCGACGTGATTTACGATATCCAACATGAACTTGTTGACCCAAGGGGTATAACAACTTCGGTCCTTCAAGAAACTAGTCAGAAGAAGATTGAGGTAGCCAAACCCGATTTTGGCCTACGCACCTCATCCAACCCAAGATCCCAAAGTATGTGTCTTCCCTGGTGCGAGATGTAAAACGCCCAGTTGTACATGCGAAATGTGCCGCTCTCACCAGCATGCAGGCGGCTCAGATCTCCTAGAAAGCTGCCGCCATCGAGGAGAGCAAGACTGACAAAGGCATCAGTATGAGGGAGGCCGGCCTGCATTGTTGGTGTCATTTGTGCAAGAAACTGACTGCGTGTAACATGTACATCTACCTAGGTAGCACCCTATCTAGCCGAACACATGCTTGCTAATTGCCGAGCTCAGATATCGAGCGAATGACGATATCCTCATCGATGCGAGGCGCAGTCGCTGTAGTACCCCCACATCCCGCCCGCGATGTTTGGTCGCGGGTGATTGCCCCACTACTGAAATGGCAGGTACAGGTGCGGGGTAATTGTCGGACCATCATTGCCCCCAACGTACCTGCTTCCAGAGAAGCAGCTCCAGGGATGCGCAACTTCCTTCAGCCAATCCAAACAGACACTAGGCAATAGTAAACAATCTGTTAGTCTATGGAACGATCCTTTGCTTCCTACCATCCCTTCCTACGCAGCAGCCAACATGTCGGAGACCCTCAAGCACCAGCACCTAGGTGAAATAGAGGGAAAGTCAGTAGATGGTGCAGTGCAATTTCTTGGCCTGAAGTATGCTTCGTTGAAAGATCGCTTGGCTGCACCCCAGCTTGTTGACAGCTATGGATCTGGAACTACGGATGCTATGAAATTTGGGTACGTCAACTGGTGACGCCGGTTGCAATTTACTAATGGAATAGTCCTCCTCCAGTATCTCCAGTCGGTGCCATTGAACGCGAGTTCGGATTCATCCAACATTCCTTGCCAATTCCAGAGGTTCCGACGCATTCCGACCTCGAATGTCTGAACCTCAACATCACTGTGCCGACCAACAAGGATGGGGCTATTGATTCCAACGCGAATTTGCCTGTATTTGTCTTCATACATGGAGGCGGCTTTGCTGTTGGAAGTAGCTGGTACCCGCACTACGATCCAGCTCCCATTGTGAAGATGTCTGTCGAGAGGAAAAAGCCCATCATCGGCATTACCATCAAGTGGGTCTTACAACCTGGAGCACACCTCGTCTACTAACAGATACAGCTATCGACTGGGTTTCACAGGGTTTGCGACTTCCGAAGAACTGCGCAAAGCAGGATACAAAGCGAACAACGCCTTTCACGACCAGCGCACGGCTCTGCAATGGATCAGGAAGTTTATAGGCGGATTCGGAGGTGATGCAGATGAGATCACAGTATGCGGAGAGAGCGCCGGTGGACGTATGTTTTGGACGCTGTTGATCTAGAGCTCGACTAACGTACGCAGTGTCTGCGACAGTATTGCTCTGCTCGGAGGAACCCCTGATGAAGCGCTGTCTTAGTACTGGAGGAGCTGTGCTACTGTTCAAGCCCATTCCCGATTTTGTGGCCGAATCATCATATCGAAAAGCCGTCGAAGCATTTGGCTTGACGGATAAGTCGCCAGAGGATCGTATCAAGGCCCTCCTTAGTATACCTTTGGATGATCTATGGCAGAAGGTGCCGCCCACAGCACCGATGCTGCCTTCAGTCGACAAAGAGACCATGCCGGGCTCACCAGATTTCCTTACCGTCTCATCTCAAGAAGACAGCCCAGCTTTCATGATGCCGGGCAGGAAGTGGTGCAAGGCCTTTATGATCGGAGAGTCAAAGCTGGACGTAAGTTCCATATCATGACACTCGAAATATGTGAGCTCATCTTTTTAGGCGAACATCATTGCATACCTTGGCCTCGATAGTCGCAAGCCGGGCGTCGCGCAAAAGTTCATCGACTCCTGCAACGCCACACTGTCCACCAAGCCAGAGGTTGCGGAACAGCTTCTCACATCCTACAAGATAACCCCCGAGACTCCGGACGAAGAGGCTATGCTATCAATATTGCGCTTTGGTTCCGAGATATCTTTCTACGCGCCCGCTCGTGCCTTCGCCCAAGGCTGGCCCAACACACCCGACTCAAAGTTCTTCCTCTACCACTTCAACGAAGGAATACCTTGGGAAGGTCGCTTCAAGGGCGAAGCAGGCCACATTCTCGATGTATCGTACCTCTTCCAGAACTACAACGAGCACTTGGACGACGCGCAGCAGAAGGTAGCACGAGAGTACGGAGAAGACTTCATCAAATTCGTCAACGGGGAGGACCCTTGGCCGCCTGTAAAGACCGACAAGTTGTGTGCTAAGGTTTACGGGCCTAGTGCCGATGGTGTTACGAGCAGATGGGTTCCAGATGGTGATCCAGCGAAGATTGGAAGAGATGAGAGGGTACTCAAGCTGGGAGAGACGGCTGGGTTCGATGCCATTATGGAGGTCTTCCAGAACTTCTTTCAAGGAAAGTAGACGGTATGAAGACTACGTGAGTGCATTAGGACAGGTTCGCAACACCACTATGTATATTAGAGTTGACAGAAGCCTTACTCCGCAAACTCCCATGTTCCATCTTCATTCTTTCTCCCTTTGTCTTCGTATCCCTTCGGTAGAAGACCTCCAACATGCAAATATATACTACTTCCATCCCTATCCACACACCTCTCATCCTTCGCCGCCCCTTCCCAAACCTCTAACGCCCTCTCCGCCATACTCGGCCTCACCCCAACCTGGCCCGCGCTCTCGATACCCAATCCCAGATCCTTCAGCATCATCTGCGTCTTGAACCCCGGCTTATACCCACTGTTACTCGGCACCCAATACTCTTTCTGCACATTGGGAATGGGCATGACGTGATCGCACATCCAAGACTGACCCGTGCTGTTCTTGATCACGGAGTACAAAGCGGAGGGGTCGAGGCCGTGAGATACGCCTATCGCTAGGGCTTCGGCGGTGGCGAGGAGAATGGTGCCGGAGAGGTAGTTGTTGCATATCTTAGCGGTGAGACCGGCGCCGAGGGTGTTCAGGTAGAAGGCTTTGGATGGTGGGCCAAGCATCGTGAGGGTCGTCGTGATTCGAGAGTCTGGGGAAGCGGAAGAAGTTGGTGTTTGCGCTGGTGGTGGGTGCCCGATCAACATCGATAATGTGCCTGCTTCTGCTGCTGGGACGCCGCCGGAGACGGGGGCATCGATGTATGTTCCCATGTCAGCTTCCTTCAGCTTTTGGCCTACGTCTTTCGTGGTGTTGACGTCGATTGTGCTGCATTCTAGCATTACCCTGTTTTGGTCCTTCTTCGCTGCAATCACCCCGTCTTTCTCGTTTAGATACACGTTCCTTACATCTTCTCCTCCTGGTACGATGGAGATCAGTACTTTCGCGTTTTCCGCTGCTTCGCGTGCTGTAGCGACGATCTGTATAGGGCCGTGCGGCGAGTATTGGGCTTTGAAGCGGGAGCATGCCGAGGCGTTGATGTCGTTGATGTAGAGGGTCGAAGATGGGTCTATCTTCTTGCGGATGTTGGCTGCCATTGCGTAGCCCATCGCTCCGAGACCTTGCCGTTGTTAGTAATGTCTATTAAGGTACTAAATTGGAGCGCTCACCAATGAATGCGTAGTTATCTGCCGACGTCATGTTTCCAAATGATACTATATCTTGCAACCGTGGTAGAATCAACCTTCTGTGATTTTTTTCCTTCAAGATGTCTCCGTCTACAACACCCGTCACATTACTTCCCATGTACTCGCTGGATCGGCTAGCGTCATTCGCTCCTTGGTGTTCACCCAAGCCCCACATCATCCCCTCACTTCCCCAATTGCCTTTCCCCAATAGAACAACCTCGGCGTACTACTCCGAGCTCGTTGCCATTAAACACGCGTAACCTTGCATTTGACGACATAGCATGGTGGTCATGTGAACGCGACGCGACGTGTACCCACCTACTTCATACTCAAGTGCCAAAATCTGAGCGCAATCAGCGTTATCTTCATCTACGTTCTATGACACCATGTCATCAAAGCCCCTCCGGATAGGTGTTATCGGCCCGGCGGGTTTTGGTGGTTCCTATCTCACCGTCGAGTTGCTAAATCGAGGCCACACCGTCATCGGCATATCACGCAACCCTGAGAAAGTAGGAAAACATCCGCGCTACATTCCCAGGCCGGTAGATGTCGACCAAGTATCGATAGAGGAACTATCAGAAGTTTTTGAAGGCCTCGATGTCTTGGTCAGCGAGTTTGGACCGCATACAGCTGGTCCAGGGGCTTTGCTGTACAGTATGTCCCGCCCGGTTCGGGATACCGTCATCCAATGACTGATCCAAAACAGTGCCGTTCCTAGAATCCGTTCGCAAGATCCTGCTAGCCTACAAGCTACGGCCCGCATCCTACTTCGTCTTCGTCGGCGGCGCAGGCTCCCTCCACGTCCCTGGCACTAATATTTCCTGCGTCGACCACCCAGACTTCTTCCTCGCCTACCGCCGCGCTATCTCTACGTCACTAGCGCACATTGCATATATGGAAGAGCGCCTCGGTATCATGGGTACCTCGCTGCGACGCTATCGTGAAGCCAGATTAGCAGAGAGCTCGGGGACGACCACGGAAGAAGACAGAACTGTGATCGCAGACTACGAGAAGCAGATTCGCGCCAAAGACAACGCATCGGACTTCATCAAAGCGGGGCGGACGGCGTACATGTTCTTCGAGGACCGGAAGAACTTTGATTGGAGTTTTGTTTCGCCGTCTGCTTTGTATCGTCCCGGGAAGAGGACTGGCGAGTATGAGATTAGCGTGGATGATATGGTGTTGCTGGGTGAGCAGCAGGAAGGTAAAGATGTTTTTGAGGGGAGGTTGACGGGGATTAGTGTCGCAGATATGGCGATTGCGATTGCGGATGAGATTGAGCAGAAGAAACTGGTCTGGAAACATTGGAGTGCTTGGGGTGATATCAGTGAAGATATGCCGGCGCCGGCGTATGTGTATTTGGATGCTGTGGATGGTGGTAGTAGATAGGCTCAGATTAGCAGAATCTTTGGATGGAGGGGTAGGAATTGTTTGCTTGTGCGCTCAGTGTTGGAAATTCTTCTTTGGTATCTTTCTTGCTCATCTCTTCTACACGCTCATCTCCTTCAGACTCTCACTGACTTTGAACGGCGCCTCCGTCTTGCTTCTGATCTCGTCCACGGTAACTCCCTTGGCATGCTCCTTCAGGGTCAACCCCTCGACGCGATCGCAGTCGAATACTGCCAGGTCCGTGATG